AACTCCTGGGCTCAAGCCATCCTCCTGCCTCAGCCTCCCAAATAACTGAGATCACAGGCTCACACCATCACACCCAGCTAATATTTTTGTTTTTTGTTGCCCAGGCTGATCGCAAGCTCCTGGCCACAAGTGATCCTCCTGCCTTGGCTTTCCAAAGCGCTGGGATGACAGGCGTGAGCCACTGCACCTGGCCTATTTTAATAAGTCTTAGCCCCAAGGCAATTTTTGGTACAGTATTTTTTCACTTTTGACATAATTTGTATCCTAGGTCTTTATCAGAGATTGACTGATCATAAATGATTTTAAATGATATGCTGTCTTCAAGGTAATGTCTAAAATTAGATAAGCAAAATCAACGGAAAATGACAAATTCACCAAACAAATCTATTCTGTAGCCTGTCATTTGAGAAAAGCATGTATTTCATTAAGTGAGGTGTAAGTACAGGGAAGTATGTAAATCAAATTTTCCTAAGTTACCTGTCTGACAAGATTTGGTCTGCATGTGAGGTTTACAATAAGTAGCTTTTGTCATTGTTAAAGGTTTGCAAAGAACTGCTTTGTTCTTCATCTCTTTGTTAGGTGTTGGAGAAGGGGGTGGTGCTGAACCCTATAGAAAAGCAAAGAGAAACATTTTTATTTTTGTCTCTAATTGTCATTATCTCCTAGCGCTAACGAATTTCTGGTTTCTAAGCCCTAAAAAGGGAACACACAAAAGTGGAAGAGTATAACCAAATTATGCTATCTTTTCTATGTTCACCACAGTCTTAATCTAGAAAGATCAATGTGACTCTATTCTAACTACTGGCAAAATTGCAGGAATTGTTCATTCTATAGATTTATGTCACATTCAAAGGACACCATCAGAGTGTTTTTATAAAAATATAAACAGACAATTCTGACTTTTAAGTACAAAATCAAGGTTGCAAACCTGAACTGTGAATATATTAATAATTATGCTTTTAAAAATTTATTTTAGAAAAAAATGTCCTTGTAGTTACTAGGATTATCTAATAATACTCTAGCTTCTTCTACTGGATAAAACAGCCTGAAATGATACTAAATGTGAAAAGACAAGAAAAATGATGCAAAGAATTACCAAAGGTAACATCAAACTTTAAGTTGTCTATTTCCTGCAGCCCAGCAATTGCCATTTCAAAAACCTATCCTACAGATGCAGTCTCTCTTGTATTTTCTATTAGATTCACTGCAGCATTATTTACATTGCAAACAAAACAAAAACCAACATAAATAAAATCGGAAATAAGCTGACGATCTGAACACACAGGACTAAAGGTAAAGATGTGCTTCATACCACTTATCGATACGCGAAAAATGTAGGTACAGAATTCGGGATAGTTATGTTATACAGTTACCCCAAACACTAAATTAGCGAATATTGAACCACTGCTGCAA